TTTTTTCTTGGCTGCTCATTTTGTATGGGCTTTTAGTTTATGAAGGAGGTCTCCGACATATGAACATGGTGAAGATATGGAGATAACTATGGAAGCTTGGATGCAACTTCCTCTTGTCTCCAAACCAGCCTATAAATAGAGTGTTCTATTGTTGTTCATATCATCAGTTTAGAAAGTGAGAAAAGTGTGTGAAGAGTGAAATACACTTAGAGTAGAAGTGTATTGGTGAGGATTGGTTTTTTGTAATAGTTGAGTGTGAGAGTTTGCTTCTCCTATTGTAATTCTGTTCTTGATATTGAATAGAAGAATTTTCCAATCCCAACAAGTGGTATCAGAGCGAGGTTGAGTTTTCATACACTGTTTTCTCTTTTTCAGATAAATTTCTACAGGTTAGAAAATCGTGATTTTTCAAGTTGCTCGGAATCACGATCTGATCATACCGTTAGATTCCTCTCGTCGAGACGAGAAATCTGGTATTTTTGGGGAATTTTTTGGCCACCGGAAGAGGCCATACGCGCCGGAAAACTGCCTGCGTCATCATTGCGTCATCACGCAGTCCAGAGGAAGAAGATGAGCCACGTTAGCCGCCACATCAGCCGCCACATCAGCCGCCACGTCAGTCCACGTAAGCGCCACGTCATCCGCCACGTCATCCGTGCAAGTCATCCTCTGGGTGCCACGTCAGCGCCACGTCAGCGCCACTTCAGTGACACGTGGCGCCACGTCAGCGCCAGCGCAGAGCCAGCTATTGCCACGTCATCCGCCTGCTGGTCTGCTCACTGGGCTACTGCCTGAACCGGACCGAACCGGTTCGTACTTGTGGAGGCCGGTTCACCCATTTTCAGACCGGTTTTGGACGAGGTCAGACCGGGTTCCTACCATTTTCGGCCATTCCGGATCCAACGGTGAGCTCCGTTTGTCCAAATTCGGCTCCGAAAATAAGGTACGAGATATTTTGAGCGTTTTATTATGGATAAATCATCATCGGACACCATGATTGCGCTCACTTCCACAAATTACAATATGTGGAAGCCTCAGATGGAGGATTTGCTAAATTTGAGGGATTTAGCTGATCCTCTTGATAATAATGGCGTGAAACCGGATAAAAAGACGGATGAAGAATGGACAAAAATGAATAGAAAAACTGTCGCACAAATTCAGCAGTGGATCGATCATAGTGTGTTCCACCATGTTGCGCATGAACAAAGTGCTTACACACTATGGGAGAAGCTTGGTAGCATGTATCAAGCAAAAACCGCCCGAAATAAGACATTACTAATGAGGAGATTAGTAAACCACAAGTTACGAGGAGGTATTTCGGTGTCAGAACACACCAGTCAATTCCAGGATCTTGTGAATCAGTTGAGCACCACCGGATGGGTTCTCAAAGATGAAGAGCAGGCGATACTACTCTTGATCTCTCTACCTGACAGCTGGGAGACTCTTGTTGTCACTCTCAGCAATTCTGCTCCCAATGGCAAAGTGACTATGCAGATGGTCACAGATGCCCTTATGAACGAAGAAGCCCGAAGAAAAGAAGCCGGGACTGAACAATCATATGCCTTCGTTTCAGAAACCAACAGACGAGGGGGAGACAGAAATGGAGGAAGAAGTCGAGGTCGAGGTAGAGGCCAAGGTCAAAACAGAGGAAATTCTCAAGTTCGCGGCCGATCACAAGAACGAGGTATGTCCTGTGAAAACAATACTTGGTTTGAAGGATATTGCAATTACTGTAGTAATTATGGGCACAGAAAAAGAGATTGTAGAAAGTTTCTACGAGAGCAGCCACAGACGAGTCAAAATACTAGCCAAGAAGACGGTGAGACCGTGGTTAGTTTGTCATCAGACGTGTGTCTTGTTACACATGGTGAACAAGAATGTTTACACGTAGGTACTCATGATGTTGAGTGGGTGATTGATACAACCGCATCATTTCACGCTACTCCACACCAGAACTTATTCACATCTTATAAGTCAGGAGACTTTGGATCTGTGAAGATGGGAAACACGAGTTTCTCGAAGATTGTTGGCATTGGTGATGTGCACATAACAACCAATGTCGGATGCGCACTTGTGTTGAAAGATGTTCGACATGTTCTGGATCTTAGATTGAATCTTATCTCCGGTACAGCTCTGGATCAGCAAGGATATCTTAACCGATTCAAAGAAGGTATGTGGAAGTTATCTAAAGGTTCCTTGGTTATTGCAAGAGGCCATATTTGTGGTACTCTGTATAAGACTCATGCAAAGTTGTGTCATCCGAGTCTCAATGCTGTTGAAGAAGAGATATCACCAAACTTGTGGCACCGGAGGCTAGGCCACTTGAGCGTGAAGGGATTGACAACTCTTGCAAAGAAGGAAGTCATTTCCATGGGCAAAGGTGTTGCCCTAGATCCATGTGAGCATTGTCTATTCGGGAAACAACACAGGGTTTCCTTCAGTTCACTAGTAGAAAACTGTCTTATAGTGACACTTCGTTAGTGACACTTTCTGATAAAGTGTCACTAATGGACGACATATAGTACTAACAGTGCATAAGTGTCGTACGTATATGACACAAAAACATCAACACATAATAGTGACACTAAATTAAAAAAAGTATTGAATTTTAACCTTAACAAATTTTCACTTTTCGTTTCCCTCCCAAAAATAAACCTCCCGCCATCTATTTTTGGAAATCCCACACCAAAACTTTCTCATCCACTTCTTTCTTTTAATCAAGTGACCGGTCAATTAACCCTTTCTTTCCTTACCCTTTTTTCCTCTCTATCGATTAACCCCTTCTTTCTTTCCTTACCCTTCTTTCCTCTCTATCGATTAACCCCATAGAACCCTAGATACACCGATGTCACTCGCTTCGATTAGCTTCTCTGCTGATTACCATCGCCGCTGCTGAAGGCTACGAAGAACACCACCGACGGCTCTAGCTTCGTCAGGTAGCTTGGGAAGAACTTCATCGGTACGGTCAATCGCCATCTTCTGCGAAGAACACCACCGACGGCTCTCAATCGCCAGGTAGCTCTTCTCCATCTGTTTTTTTTGTTTTGGTGTACGGGGTGTGATAGGCCTAGGGGTTAGTTAGTTTCAGAATGACCTGAGGTTTAATCAAAAACCAATTTGGGGAATTTGAAAAAGAGATGTGTGCGTCTCTGTCCTTCGGTTAGGTTAGGATGGGGGTTATTTTTTCTCAACTTTTTTCTAACAACTTGTTGCAAAACCTTGTCAGTTCTAGAGACAACAATGGTAAAAAGAGCCTTATCTGTGTTCAACCCTACAGCAAGAGACTCAATGTTGTAGCCTCTCCGGGCAAAAACTCCAGCTATTCTGTTAATTATACCACTTTCATCCCCAACGAACACTGAAATTGTATGACGCTTTGATCTGAGATAAAGTAAGTTAGAATTTTCGCCATATATATAAATACATATATGAACACATATACCATCTCAATCTCGGGAAAGTGAGCATCTTTTCTAGATTATCACATCATGAGAACAGCTCTAAAATACTCCAAAATGAAAATATAATTTCCTACATAAAAAGGGTATAGATACTTTTTCAATATTTCTAGTCCAGAGATAATACAATAGCCCCCCTCCCCTAGTAACTTCGACCCAATACAGCCCCAAACACAAAGGCTGCCAACTCGAGAACATGGGTTGGGCAGTTTAACTCAGCTTCTTTAATTTTTTTCCCGACTGCATTAATACATCCTAGTCCTCCTAGACTAGCATCGTTGTATACTGAGTGAGGTTTGTACAGGTCAGTGACGTTGATAAGGTTTTGATGTTTATAAAAGGGGAAAATGAAGACAATAGTATTACTGGATTATTACTGCTTCAACATTCAAGAAGTACTTACCAAGATTGGATCTTTTTTCCATAAAAGCCTATCTATTATAGTTTCTAAAGTTATGTATATGTATGTCTATATATACGAAGTACTGGGTATGTGTGTGTTTTATATAGGCTATCTATTATACGAAATTTTTATTAATTTTTCATGCTAAGTTAACTTAAAATTTTCTATATACGAAAAATTTTAAGTTAACTGAAGTTACCTTTTCTTTCTACACATTTGTTGAACTTGGTCATTTTGAGATGAAAAATTGATCAACCCACACTTTTCTGGGATGACATATTTTGAAGGACTACATTTGTTTTGGGAGGGAAGTATGTTTACTTCAAAAAGTAAGAGTCTATAATACGATAGTGAAAACAAAAGGACTGCTTAAGTGAGTTGTGATTTCACTTTGTGAGAGTCTATGATCTTCTCCCGCATAGACTTTACTCTTTACGTTGGTGTTTAATACGATAGTAGATTCTTTTATTAAAAGCTGGTTGTTTTTTGGATCTTATAAATGTTTTTCTTCATAGTGACAATTTCTTCTCAAAGTTGTGGATAAGCACTTTAATATTTGGATGAAACTTACTGCTTTTAACGTTATACTATGTTAAAAGAAGCTCACTGTTTTTATCCTAAACCTACTACAGTTTCACTTTATAATCATGACTGTATGTTTGTATATGATCAAAATGATTGCATAAGTAAACCTTTATGGTGCTCAAATTAAAATCCAGTTAATCCACACAGTTCCCTTAGCTCTAAATATAGTTGTTGGCCCGTTCAGTTAGTAGTTTATAATCTTCCTCCTTGGTTGACTATGAAGAGAAAATTCATGATGTTGTCTCTATTAATATCTGGGCCTAAACAGTCGGGCAGTGATATAGATGTGTATTTAAAGCCCTTGATTGATGACCTAAAAACCCTCTGGAATGATGGGGAAGATGTTTATGATGGGTTTAGAAATGAAACCTTCAACTTAAGGGCTGTATTGATGTGGACGATTAGCGATTTTCCGGCATATGTCACGCCCCAGACCGCAATCCAAGCGCGTGTACAACCGCCGTATAATTAAGTGACGTCACCCGCGAGTCAACCTCACTTAATTACACAAGGCGTTCGAGAAAACAACCCATCCATACTCAGTAGTAAACATACATAACAACATCACATTTAAACCAATGAATAGCGGAAATATTCAACGGCAAGTCATAAGCCACAACCGGCCAACAACATGGGCATGCAAGCCCCAAAAATAGTTTATAGTAGAACAAATATCCATGAGCAAGTGTTCAGTAGTTTGAAAGAAAATAAGGAAGCACGAACCACGTCTTCCTGAATTGATATCACCCGTAAGAAGGTGCAAGTAGCAAGCCCTAGCTTCAACCTGAAAATGGTGGGGCCCCTCGAAGGGGTCAGTACAAGTACCGAGCGAGTAGCAGACTAAATATAGAATAACTAGCGTTTCAAGTATAAGACCCAAACATAGGGTGATACTTAAATAAGTAGTCTTCCCCCCAAGTTATGAAATACTTATTAGTATATATATATATATATATACTTGGAAAATATCCGATCCGTAGATCACCATTTTAATTGGGAAAAATAGTAATAGTCAATATTCTTGACTAAAAACCCCAACCCACCCATATACCTATGAGTGTATAGGACTCCTCCTTGTCCCTATTTGTATATCATAATCTATGAGTTTTAGGATCATAATCCTTGGATACTCCACCGGTTTGTGAGTGTTAAGGCCTCATAAGTCCTAGGGTCCTCCACCAAGTTTTGAGTGTTAAGTACTTTTAAGTACTAGGGTCCTCCACCAAGTTTTGAGTGTTAAGTACTTTTTAAGTACTAGGGTCCTCCACCAAGTTTTGAGTGTTAGTACTTTTTAAGTACTAGGGTCCTCCACCAAGTTTTGAGTGTTAAGTACTTTTTAAGTACTAGGGTCCTCCACCAAGTTTTGAGTGTTAAGTACTTTTTAAGTACTAGGGTCCTCCACCAAGTTTTGAGTGTTAAGTACTTTTAAGTACTAGGGTCCTCCACAAGGTTTTGAGTGTTAAGTACTTTTTAAGTACTAGAGTCCTCCACCAAGTTTTGAGTGTTAAGTACTTTTTAAGTACTAGGGTTCTCCACCAAGTTTTCCTATGATCAACCTCCTATCAACCTAGATAGAGTCTATATCATTCTTAGTTACTCATAACTAATCCAATACATAATCTTATGTATCACAATCCATGCAAAGCCATGCATGTATATAAATTTATAATTAATTAATACCAACCGGTATTAATTAAATTCTTTGTCCATCGGTCAACGTTTTCGTTGACCGCCATTTCATGCCTTGTGTGTATCAACTTAATCATCATATAATTAAGTTAATAATATTCCTTCGTGCCACTAATACACTTCAAACAAATATGCATTTCATATAATTCTTCATATCATATTCCATGCATCAACAATTAATTTCTTTCATACAAACTTAACCCTATTGGCTAATCACATGTTTAAATATCTTTTAAACATCATTATGAACTCATATAACATTTATTTAGGTAATCTCATAATTAACCCAAAAGTTATAAGATATTAAGCCGTCCACTCACCTTGAACTAGCGTATGAAGTTCTACCCTTCTTGGTTGAACTCCGGTGAAACTCCGGCGACTTTTGGTCAACTCCGGCGACAATTCCGGCAACTTTTCCAACTTTGTGAAATCACTTGAAATACCCTTTACAAGTGCCTAACAAGGTTTTAACATCATAAAACCTTAATCAATACAAATAACCTATAAAAGGTTATTTTCCGGTGAACCGGTCGTTTTTGGCTTCTAAGTCCGTTCTTGGACGTAGAGCCACCTTTCAACCCATGAATCCATACTTGTAACATATGGAACCATACTAAAGGTCATCTACATGATATATACCTCATATGGTAGAAGAAAAATAAAGGAGAAGTTATAACAAGGTCATTACCTTAATTATTCACACTTTTCCTAACTTTTTCCTTCTCAAACCTCCTTCTTTGGACCAATTTCTCTTGAGCTCGTTCTGCAACAATGGAGGTGGTTTAGAGAGCTTTTCCTCTCCTTTTCTTGAGGTCTTGGTCGAGCTTGGTGATAGGGGTGAGAGAGGGTACACACTTTTGTCTCAAATGACAAATAAGTGTGGGATGGGAGCCCACCTTTGTCCTTAGATGCTTCTCAACTCAAACCCATACAACCCCCCACTCCCCTCTTTCATTCCAGCCGTCCAAGACAGGGCATTGAGTGAGTAATTTCGTGGGTTGGCCCCCACACATGTGGGAGGTCATCCCTTTAAGCCCTGAAGTGTAGAATCGGCCCCGAAAGTTGTATTTTTCGGACTGTTTTAATCATATTTTATTTTATCGGGTAAAATAAAATATATTACTTGTTCCCAATCATAACGCCCCTTTGAAATAATATATATTCCAAAACTTTACTTTGGAAGTCTCCGAAATTCATTTCTGGCTGTTATCTGTTAAATTACCAGTACCGGTAATTTGGGCTTCTTTTGACCAATCGGTCAACTCCGGGTCTTTCCATGGCCCAAATGAAATATCCACCACTATATATTTATTATCTAGACCAAGATGAATAAAATATATAGTCTCGGGGATGTCGGGCGGCCCCCGCTCCCGGTGTGGGTCGCACGTGCAATTTACTATTCACGCGAAAGAAATAATAAAAATTTACAACTTCGTAAATTCATTAATCCTTTAATAAGGTTCAATACATTATTTACATAAAAGTAAATATATTTGGGGACGGTGTTACAAGTTCACCCCCCCTTATTTGGGATTTCGTCCCCGAAATCCAAGTATCTAATCGAAAAGAAACGGGTATTGCTCCCTCATTGAGACTTCGGTCTCCCACGTTTCTTCTTCGACCCGATCTCTTCTCCACAGAACCTTTACCATAGGAATCTCCTTGTTCCTAAGTTTCTTCACTTGATGACCTACTATCTTTACCGGCTCTACCGCATATTGCAAATCCTCACGGATCTCTACCGGCGGTTTCTCAAGAATGTGAGATGGGTCTCGTATGTACTTCTTGAGCATTGATACATGAAACACGTCATGTATCTTCTCAAGTTCAGGCGTCAACTTGAGACGGTAAGCCACGGCCCCTATCCTTTCAAGGATTTCGAATGGGCCGATGTATCGGGGGTTAAGCTTTCCCCTCGATACAAATCGACTGATGCCCTTCCAAGGAGAAATCCTTAGGAAGACCTCATCACCGACTTCGAACTCTAACGGTCTCCGCCGTTTATCAGCATAACTCTTCTGTCGGTCCTGAGCAGCCCTCAGTCTATCCTGAATGATCCTCACCTTAGCCTTGTGATCTCAACCAGTTCTATCCCTTCGAGTTTGGCCTCGCCAACCTCGTCCCAGCACAACGGTGTTCTGCATTTCCTCCCATACAATGCCTCATATGGAGGCATGCCGATACTTGCTTGATAACTGTTGTTATAAGCAAACTCCACTAGAGCCGAATGCTTGTCCCAACTTCCTTGGAACTCCAAAGCACATGCCCTAAGCATGTCTTCCAAAATCTGTATCACCCGTTTGGACTGTCCATCCGTTTGTGGGTGAAAGGCTGTGCTAAACTTCAGTTTAGTACCCAATGATGCTTGAAACTTTGGCCAAAATCGGGATGTGAATCGTGGATCCCTATCCGAGACAATGGATATTGGGACTCCATGTAACCTCACAATCTCCTCTGTGTATAGCTTGGCTAATCTTTCAAGAGGATAAGTAATGTTGATAGGCAGAAAGTGTGCACTCTTGGTGAGCCTATCAACCACTACCCAAACTGCATCATAGTTGTTCACCGTTCGTGGTAGCCCCACCACGAAGTCCATGGTCACGTGCTCCCACTTCCACTCTGGGATGGTGAGTGGCTGCAAGAGCCCTGCCGGGTGCTGATGTTCTGCCTTAACTTGCTGGCAAGTAAGGCATCGACTCACATACTCGGCGATGTCTCTCTTCATACCTGACCACCAGTAACTTTCCTTCAAATCTCGGTACATTTTAGTACCTCCTGGATGCATAGCATAAGCTGAAGAATGAGCCTCCTCAAGTATAGATTTCTGGAGTTCCTCATTCCTTGGTATGCACACACGATCTTTAAACAATAAAAGACCGTCATCACGTACCCGAAAATTCTCAACGGGTCCTTCCAGGATCCTTTCACGGATCTTCTGACATTCCTCATCAATGGCCTGACTTCGACTAATCTCGCCCAATAGGGTGGGCCTAACCTCAAATTGAGCAATGAGAGCCCCGCACGTGGACACCTCCACGCGTGCCCTCAATGCCTGCAGACAAGTAAGTAACGTCCCTGACGTACTCTTCCTGCTCAGTGCGTCGGCCACTACATTGGCCTTTCCGGGATGATAGTCGATGATCAAGTCATAGTCCTTGATCAACTCCATCCATCTCCTCTGTCTCATATTCAACTCTTTCTGAGTGAATACGTACTTCAAGCTCTTATGATCAGTGTAAATGTGACACGTCTCCCCGTAGAGATAATGCCTCCAAATCTTCAATGCAAACACTACCGCCCCCAACTCTAGATCGTGAGTAGGGTAGTTCACTTCGTGTTTCCTCAATTGCCTAGAAGCATAGGCAATCACCTTACCGTTTTGCATTAGTACACATCCAAGCCCTTGGATGCTAGCATCGCTGTAAATGTCATACCCTATCCCCTGTATGGGTAGGGCAAGGACTGGTGCTTCGGTAAGTCGTTTCTTCAATTCAAGGAACCCCTTCTCACACTTGTCGTCCCATACGAACTTGGCCCCTTTCTTTGTGAGCTTCGTTAATGGGGACGCCAATACGGAGAATTTCTCAACAAATTTACGATAGTATCCCGCTAAGCCAAGGAAACTACGTATCTCCTTCACACTCTTGGGTCTCTCCCAATCCATAATAGCTTTTATCTTGGCGTTATCCACAGCAACGCCCGAACCAGATATGACATGACCGAGGAAACCAATCTCCTTGAGCCAAAATTCGCATTTAGAGAACTTGGCAAAGAGTTACTTTTCCCTTAGCCGATCAAGTATAAGCCCCAAATGATGTTCGTGCTCCTCCTCGCTCTTGGAGTATATCAAGATATCATCAATGAATACTATCACAAATTGATCTAAGTATTCACTAAACACCCGGTTCATCAAGTCCATGAATGCCGCCGGTGCGTTGGTTAAACCAAATGACATCACAAGGAACTCGTAATGACCATACCTAGTGCGGAATGCACTCTTAGGTATGTCGCTCTCCTTGATCTTCAACTGATGATACCCCGACCTCAAATCAATCTTCGAGAACACTATTGCCCCCCAAAGTTGATCAAACAAGTCATCAATCCTCGGTAAGGGATACATGTTCTTGATTGTGACCTTGTTCAACTGTCGGTAGTCAATAAACATTCTTAGTGTACCATCCTTCTTCTTCATGAAGAGTACGGGTGCCCCCCACGGTGAATGACTGGGTCTGATGAATCCGTTGTCCAATAATTCCTGTAGTTGGACCTTCAACTCTTGAAGTTCGGCCGGTGCCATTCGATAAGGGGGAATCGAAATGGGTTTGGTTCCCGGCTCCACTTCAATTACAAACTCTATCTCTCTATCGGGTGGAAGCCCCGGTAGGTCTTTGGGAAAGACATCCGGGTACTTTCACATGACTCGTACATCCTTGATGTCGAATTCTTTCTTCATATCGTCCACCACGTAAGCAAGGTACGCGTGGCACCCCTTTCTCATCATCTTCCGTGCTCGCATCACGGATACGATGCAAGCATTTGATTTCCCCCGATCTCCTTCGAAACATAGCGTGTTTCCTTGATCATCCTCGAGCTCCAACACTTTGGTGTAACAATCTACTCGAGCATGGTGCTTCTCAAGCCAATCCATTCCTAGGATTGCATCGAACTCCAACATGCTTAGAGGTACGAAATCACAAGTCAAGGGTTGACCCGTCACTTCCACCTCACATGATGGATAGTAATGATTTCTCTCCACATCGTCTCCTAACGGTGTGGAGACTAGCAACGGTTGCGTCATAGGTGTCAATGGCACGTCAAGGCCCTCGGCGAACGCCTCACTCACAAATGAGCGTTGTGCCCCGGTATCGATGAGGATCCTCGCACACCTACCATTGATCTTTAATGTTCCTACATTTATACACCATGTAAGATACATTTTCTAATGTTTTTACACATCATTAGGATGCTATTAGGTTCATACTAATGTTTGGAATCAAACGGGGGTCCAAACGTTGAAGAACGGGGTGAAAAAATCAACTTTCGGGTGTTGGGGGTCCACGCACGGCGTGCCTGGGTGGCACGCACGGCCGTGCGTGCATTGAAATTTCCTTGTTCACTACTGCCGGCCAGACACGGCGTGCCTGCAGGTCACGCACGGCGTGCCTGCTTGGCCACGCACGGCGTGCCTGTTGGTACGCACGGTCGTGCGTCCGGCTAAAATCCTGGAGCGCTACTGCCTCCTAGACACGATGCTCCCTCAAGCCAGGCACGGCGTGCCTGTGCAGCACGCACGGCGTGCCTGCAAGCGCGCCCGGCCACCAGTGGCTGTTTTTAGCCCGTTTCGGTCTAAATTCACCCGGTTTGACCCCGAGGTGGCCCGCACTCAATCCCTTTGACTTATATGGTCAAAATAAGCCTAGAAATACATGGAAATACGTGTATTACCTGCAACGGAGTCCGGGTTTGCTCACGCATCCGCCTCGGCCATTGCGTAGACCCTTGCTTGGGCCCCGCCTTGATTGACGGACGTAGCGTTGCTCGTCGTTGGTTCCGTATGGTTTCCTTCAATGGTGAGCCCTTCCTTGGCTTGCGATGTCTCTCGTTGCCTCCTCCATGGGCAACTTAATTTCATATGGGTTGTGCTCCCACATTCGTAGCACATCGGGGGCTCGTTGCACTTTCCGAAATGTTTCTTAGAGCAATTCGAACATTTGGATGGTCTGAAAGAGTAAGGAAAGGACGTATGCCACCTTGAGGTCCTTTTCTTTTTCACCGGTGATGCCGGTGCCGTAAGAGTGCTTTCTCCTCCTTGGTCGTTTGCCCAAGGATGGGTTTGGCTGACAGTCATATCACGTTGGGAGGTGGCCCGATCTCGTCTAGCCTGACGCCTACGTTCGTCCCTCCTGGTGTTCATGTTACACATCGAGCCCACTTGACTAGCGCTTGCCGCTTGGCGGCCCTCACGGCCCCCATGACCTATTCCTCTCCCCGTAAAGGCTCGTGACACAGCCCGGCTAGCCTCAAGGTAAGCTACCGACGCTTGTCCCTTAGGGTCATTTCTTGTTGCCATTCGCCTACCCTCCATTTCTGAAACGAAATTTGGACGAGTCTTTAGACTCCTATAAAATGTCAATTGACGGAAGAACGTTATAGACACGTATTGGCCCAAGCCACCGCCATACCAATTGTTAAGGGTACCGTCTTAACAATTAGAGGCCTTGCAACTTAAGCACCAATAATCCCATAAACGTCAAAATACCATGCTCATGGTTTTCGATAAAAACTTGTTTGTAAAATCTTTGTGAGAGGTTGATTATATAGTTTAGAACTGAGATGGCTCTGATACCACTTAATTGTCACGCCCCAGACCGCAATCCAAGCGCGTGTACAACCGCCGTATAATTAAGTGACGTCACCCGCGAGTCAACCTCACTTAATTACACAAGGCGTTCGAGAAAACAACCCATCCATACTCAGTAGTAAACATACATAACAACATCACATTTAAACCAATGAATAGCGGAAATATTCAACGGTAAGTCATAAGCCACAACCGGCCAACAACATGGGCATGCAAGCCCCAAAAATAGTTTATAGTAGAACAAATATCCATGAGCAAGTGTTCAGTAGTTTGAAAGAAAATAAGGAAGCACGAACCACGTCTTCCTGAATTGATATCACCCGTAAGAAGGTGCAAGTAGCAAGCCCTAGCTTCAACCTGAAAATGGTGGGGGCCCCCGAAGGGGTCAGTACAAGTACCGAGCGAGTAGCAGGCTAAATATAGAATAACTAGCGTTTCAAGTATAAGACCCAAACATAGGGTGATACTTAAATAAGTAGTCTTCCCCCCAAGTTATGAAATACTTATTAGTATATATATATATATACTTGGAAAATATCCGATCCGTAGATCACCATTTTAATTGGGAAAAATAGTAATAGTCAATATTCTTGACTAAAAACCCCAACCCACCCATATACCTATGAGTGTATAGGACTCCTCCTTGTCCCTATTTGTATATCATAATCTATGAGTTTTAGGATCATAATCCTTGGATACTCCACCGGTTTGTGAGTGTTAAGGCCTCATAAGTCCTAGGGTCCTCCACCAAGTTTTGAGTGTTAAGTACTTTTAAGTACTAGGGTCCTCCACCAAGTTTTGAGTGTTAAGTACTTTTTAAGTACTAGGGTCCTCCACCAAGTTTTGAGTGTTAGTACTTTTTAAGTACTAGGGTCCTCCACCAAGTTTTGAGTGTTAAGTACTTTTTAAGTACTAGGGTCCTCCACCAAGTTTTGAGTGTTAAGTACTTTTTAAGTACTAGGGTCCTCCACCAAGTTTTGAGTGTTAAGTACTTTTAAGTACTAGGGTCCTCCACCAAGTTTTGAGTGTTAAGTACTTTTTAAGTACTAGGGTCCTCCACCAAGTTTTGAGTGTTAAGTACTTTTTAAGTACTAGGGTCCTCCACCAAGTTTTCCTATGATACATAATCTTATGTATCACAATCCATGCAAAGCCATGCATGTATATAAATTTATAATTAATTAATACCAACCGGTATTAATTAAATTCTTTGTCCATCGGTCAACGTTTTCGTTGACCGCCATTTCATGCCTTGTGTGTATCAACTTAATCATCATATAATTAAGTTAATAATATTCCTTTGTGCCACTAATACACTTCAAACAAATATGCATTTCATATAATTCTTCATATCATATTCCATGCATCAACAATTAATTTCTTTCATACAAACTTAACCCTATTGGCTAATCACATGTTTAAATATCTTTTAAACATCATTATGAACTCATATAACATTTATTTAGGTAATCTCATAATTAACCCAAAAGTTATAAGATATTAAGCCGTCCACTCACCTTGAACTAGCGTATGAAGTTCTACCCTTCTTGGTTGAACTCCGGTGAAACTCCGGCGACTTTTGGTCAACTCCGGCGACAATTCCGGCGACTTTTCCAACTTTGTGAAATCACTTGAAATAGCTGACGTGCACTTTGTCGTGAGTGCACTCAAAATAAATTCAATACTAGCACTTATACGTAGTATAGGTGAAGTAGAGTTCGTATCCACAGGGAAAGGAATAACTTTCTTTTTATATAAATAGTAAGTAAATGGGGATTTTGATTGTTGAGTGATTCAATTAAATTAAACACGAAGATGAACGAGTTATGTGGTTTTAATTCAAAGATAAAAGGGACTTGGTATTGCTACTTTACACTAGTTGATATATTTTAGTCGATCATTGTTATATCTATAACTTATCTCCTCTCGAATACTCAATCGAGGAGTATATCCAATTCATCGAGGATAGTTATTAACAACGACCGTTCATTAATAACCCTTACTATTAGTCAAGTATAGAACAACGCCATATACCGACTTGATAGTAGCATTTAATCTTTTAACTCCTTGATGAAATCAATTGAGATTGATAACCTCAACACAACGGTTTCGGTTTAACCAACAAAATTAATCCCTCTTAAGTTTATTAACCACGACCGTGCATTAATAAACAGAAGTTACTTACTTGTGAAACTATCAACGATTAACCATCGGTTCGTTGATCGTTTCTAGTGATAATTAATATGTGAAACAAAACTAGTTGATCCTTTAAGTAATGTTCAAAATATTAATATGAAATATGAATAGGGATTAATTAATACTCAAGGAAGAATATTAAAGAAGATGAATCCTACTATAGTTAATATCAAGATGTTAACTAATTGTCATCTTAGTAACACTCCCCGATATTAACATAGAGGAAGGAATAGCTATTACTAAAACCAATATCAAGATGTTGACTAATTCTCATCTTAGTAACACTCCCCAACATTGATATAGAAATAGTGTTTTAAAGGAAGAATTAATATTCAAGGAAAAGAGGTTAAGAAATAACTCACAACTTTAATAATCAACAAGCTTCAAGAGCAATACCAAGAAATGGAAGTTTAGCTCCTCATTTGGAGACTAAACATGCTAAAAGAAATACATAGAAATGCTATTCTAAACTGAGCTTAAGAGTATAAAGGAATTGATTTTCTAAAAGTGAAGGAAAGGAGGTGTATTTATAGGCTTTTTGAGGTGCAGGTCGAGTACTCGATCGAGTAGGTACATATACTCGATCGAGTATGTGTAAAACTTCGAATTCGATCCATACTCGATCGATATTCGGGTATAATTTATAGCTATACCCGATCGAGTATGTCGGTGTACCCGATCGGGTATAGACACTTGATCGTGGGAAAATCTTCTCCTGCATGTTCCTTTGTTCCCGGATCAAATCCTTGAAAATCAGTATTGGTACTCGATCGAGTATAAGGTGTACTCGACCGAGTACAGGTCAAAATCAGGAACTTTCCTTCTTTTTGTCTTGTACTTTTGCACCTTCCTTCACCAATGATCATTTGATTGATCTTGGACCTGTTTAAGCTCAGAATAAACCTAATCTAAACAATTTACAAGAATTTAACAAACTAAACTATTACACCGAAAGTGTGTAATTTCCGAAATACTAAACAACCAAAACTAACTAAAAACGTAAATAAACACACGGAAATTACAAACGTATCAATACCCTTTACAAGTGCCTAACAAGGTTTTAACATCATAAAACCTTAATCAATACAAATAACCTATAAAAGGTTATTTTCCGGTGAACCGGTCGTTTTTGGCTTCTAAGTCCGTTCTTGGACGTAGAGCCACCTTTCAACCCATGAATCCATACTTGTAACATATGGAACCATACTAAAGGTCATCTACATGATATATACCTCATATGGTAGAAGAAAAATAAAGGAGAAGTTATAACAAGGTCATTACCTTAATTATTCACACTTTTCCTAACTTTTTCCTTCTCAAACCTCCTTCTTTGGACCAATTTCTCTTGAGCTCGTGCTGCAACAATGGAGGTGGTTTTGAGAGATTTTCCTCTCCTTTTCTTGAGGTCTTGGTCGAGCTTGGTGATAGGGGTGAGAGAGGGTACACACTTTTGTCTCAAATGACAAATAAGTGTGGGATGGGAGCCCACCTTTGTCCTTAGATGCTTCTCAACTCAAACCCATACAACCCCCCACTCCCCTCTTTCATTCCAGCCGTCCAAGACAGGGCATTGAGTGAGTAATTTCGTGGGTTGGCCCCCACACATGTGGGAGGTCATCCCTTTAAGCCCTGAAGTGTACAATCGGCCCCGAAAGTTGTATTTTTCGGACTGTTTTAATCATATTTTATTTTATCGGGTAAAATAAAATATATTACGTGTTCCCAATCATAACGCCCCTTTGAAATAATATATATTCCAAAACTTTAATTTGGAAGTCTCCGAAATTCATTTCTGGCTGTTATCTGTTAAATTACCAGTACCGGTAATTTGGGCTTCTTTTGACCAATCGGTCAACTCCGGGTCTTTCCATGGCCCAAATGAAATATCCACCACTATATATTTATTATCTAGACCAAGATGAATAAAATATATAGTCTCGGGGATGTCGGGCGGCCCCCGCTCCCGGTGTGGGTCCCACGTGCAATTTACTATTCACGCGAAAGAAATAATAAAAATTTACAACTTCGTAAATTCATTAATCCTTTAATAAGGTTCAATACATTATTTACATAAAAGTAAATATATTTGGGGACGGTGTTACAGCATATGCCAACTTGAGTGGGTGTACTGGAAAGGGGTATTACGCATGTCCAGTTTGTGGTCCTTCAACCTCCTCAACCTGGCTAAAATGCAGTAAGAAGTGTGCTTACATGGCTCACCGCCGTTTTTTGCCTCATGATCATAAACTAAGAAATATGAAAAAATTGTTCAACAATAAAGTAGAAAGAGAAGGACCTCCTGCCACCTTGTCGGGTCAAGATGTCCTTACATTGGTGGAAGATATTAATTATAAGAGTGGAAAGAAAAAGGGAGTCAAAAGAAAGCGTACGAAAAAGAACGAAGACATGAAACTGAAATTGTTTAAAAGGAAATCAATATTTTTTGATTTGGATTATTGGCAACATTTATTAATCCGACATCTCTTAGATGTGATGCACATTGAGAAAAATGTGTGCGAGAGCATCTACGGGACGCTACTTGATCAATCCACAAAGACAAAAGATGGCATTAAGGCTCGGAATGACCTTCTTCATATGAAGATTAGGAAAAAGTTAGTTCCCGATGATAGTTCTAATTCATTACCTCCAGCACCATACACCTTGTCCAAAGCAGACAAAAAAAAGTTCTGTGAAACCATATTGGATATCAAGGTTCCAGAAGGTTATTCTTCAAATTTGAAAAGCATAGTGTCTGAAGATGACAGTAATCTTCAAGGTCTTAAATCACATGGCTGCCATACCCTGATGCAACAAATTCTTCCTCTGGCCATTCGAAACTTATCTCTCTCAAAAGATGTTACCAATTCTATAACTGACATGTTTCTGTTCTTCAATGCATTATGTGAGAAGGTGCTGGATAATGATGCACTTGACATACTAGAGGCTAATCACCGGGTTACACTATGTCGTTTGGAGCAATATTTCATGCCTGCTTTTTTTGATATAATGGTTCACTTAACTGTTCATCTCGTTGCCCAAGTTCGGTTGTGTGGGCCAGTTTACCTATGTTGGATGTATCCTTTTGAACGATTCATGAAGTTTTTAAAAGGTTATGTGCGTAACCATTACCATCCAGAGGGATGCATGGCTGAATGCTATGTGGCAGAGGAAGCGTTAGAGTTTTGTGCTGAATATCTTTCAAATCACGAGTCAATTGGATTACCTGTGAATTCGGGTGAGGATGGGCAACCTGAAAGGCCGATAGGACGTGGAGACACGCAGACTGTTGATTCCTCACTACTTGAGCAAGCACATCGTACCGTGCTGTTTAATACCCCTGAAGTCCAACCTTATATACAGTATGACTTAACTTTTATAAAACTCTTACTTAATTTTTCTTCACTTCCATATTTAATAAGTTTTCTAATATTATCCAAATAGGGAACACATGGATATATTACAGTCACAGGATATTGCTTGTTGTGATACGGAGCATTATCGTACATTTGTTAACTGGTTTGACGAGAAGGTAGTTGATAAATCTAACCTTATCTATATACATACTACGTAACAAATAATAAGAATCAAATTTACTTAAAATTTAATATTTATTTGTAGGTTTGTCTTGATGTTGCAAATGGTGTGACTGTCGCTGAAACAGTGAGGTGGTTAGCTAAGAAGCCTAACACAACAGTGACAATATACTCAGGCTATAATATAAATGGGTTTTCCTTTGCAACTAAGGATCGAGATTCGAATCGGGTAACACAAAACAGTGGTGTTAGACTCGTAGCAGAAACTGTTCAAGTTTCCAGCTCTAAGGATAAAACTCCATGTTCAGCGTCGATGAATTATTATGGGGTCCTTGATGAGATTTGGGTCTTGAACTATCTAATGACTAAGAGAGTTGTTTTCAAGTGTTCTTGGGTAGATAGTAGGCATGTGAAAACTGACAAGTTGGGCTTCACAGTAGTGGATCTTAATAAGATAGGTCAGAAAAATGATTGTTTCATTTTAGCTTCCCATGCCAAACAAGTTTTTTATGTGAGAGATCAACTTGATCCTAAAAAATCAATAGTGTGTTCAGTTGGGCAGAAGGTTAGTAATGGTATGGATGTTGACAGTGATGAAATGATATTACACGAACCTTTAACTTCACAATACCCAAACCATTTTAACGATGCGGAAGCTGAAGATGATGATCAAATTTATCATAGGATTGACATTGATGCAATTCCAGTACCCAATGAGTCTCAATTACCCTGATTTATGTACTTCATTCAGTAAGTTATAAGCGTAATTGAATCATTCTTCTATTTTGATTCCTTACTATTGTGATTTTCACTAATTAAATAATAACCGCATATTTGTATTATATGTATACAGGTGAAAGCTAGCGATGTCAAAGTATGAAGAAGTCGTGGATGATTTTGATGTGGACGAAGGGTTGGAAGATTTGGGCCAACGCCCTAAAAGGAGACAAAAGACAAAGAAGAAAATGCTACTAAAGAAAGCTGCAGATGATAAGGTGGTGGTAAAGGTGAATAGCTTTGGTGTTCATGCAGGTAAAGAATGGACAGAATTGACCAATTATATTGGTGCCTTAGTGCGGGATCATGTTTCCATAGTGCATGATGAATGGAGACATGTGAAAGTTAAACTTAAAGATGAAATGTGAACCATCTTAAGGTAATAAATAATGTTTGTTGAAAAACAAGGCTATGTTTCAGAACTCTTAATCTGCTAGAGGGCTAACAACTTTATAATAAATTGTATGTAGGAATTGTTCGTGTTGAGTGACAATTCAAAAAAGCATGTGTTAGCCACTATGAGTGTAGCTTTCAGAAATTTCAAATCTACACTGCGAACTGACTTTATCTATCAACATGAGGATGAGCCGGAGAAGTTAGAGTTACCTCCCGTTATACTCCTACACTTCAAGATTTTTTGGTAAACTGTAAAAGACCTACAATTTGAGTATTAATTTGTTTCATTTCAGGAGAAAAGCAAAAAAGCGAGAGAGCGCCGAAAAAAGCACAATTTGAACCACCGATTGGGTTCTACTGGATATGGAGGCTTGCTTTTAAAGCAGGTCCTTCATCAATGACTATGAATGCCTATTATTATAACAATATATAGTGTTGAGCTACGTATTCGTCCATTATATTACTGTTTCACTTATTCTTCTTCTAATTTCCAGCAAAAAGAACTTGGAGTCAAAAATCTGGAAGACATTGATCGTTGTGATACGTGGTTGCTTGGCAGGAAAAAAAAGATAGGACCTATGATGATGATGTCAAAGAAGTGGCAAATGAAATAGTAAGTGTAACTATATTTTTCATATTTAAAATGTTAATGTAGAACTTCTTTAGCAACTAACTACGTTCCCTCAACCTTTGTTTAGGAGGACCTGAAGCACAAAGTACAGGAGGGGTCGTTTGTGCCTAGTGGGGATGCTGGTGTTCTTTCCACTGCTCTTAAGAAAAAACCCAATGGCAGTAGAGTTCAAGGGTTGGGACACTTCATAACCCCAACACAATACTTCCACAGGCCAAAAGAGACAAGATCTGAGCGGGAAAAGGAGCATGAGATGTGTGAGCAAAAGTACAAGATGATGGTTCTTAAGTTTGATGAAATGAGGACACAAGTGTCACATGCCATAAGTGAAATTGGCAGTTCAAGTATTCCCAACAAATCTCCTATTGTAAAGGTATACACACATTCTGAATTTTTTAGAATATCCTGCTTCATAAGACTCTACTATTGCTTAACCCTTGCATGTTCTTTCACTCATTCTGTTTTGATATATAAGTAACTTTTTATTGTTCAACCTTTGGTTATAACTATTTTGTAATGTAATTCTGAGTTATGGCTTAGGTTTAAAAAGTGACTGCTTATAATTCTATAAATGGAATGGAAACTTCTGAAACAAAAATAAAGGAACAAATGATAAAAACAAGAGTATAAGTTAAGTTATAACTTAAAATTAACTTGTTATCTAACCTGTTAAGTGAAGTTATAAAAATATAAGTGACTGCTGATTAAATTAGATTTTAAACTAGTTTATCTAATCTAAAGTCTAAACCAAACCAAAACAAGCATAACATGAAAACCACTTCTGACATGGTTAAGTAATTTTGATAAGTAATACCACTGGTAATAAGTAACATATGTGTTTGTTGATGTTATATCATTGATAGGCTGCTGAAGAGGTAGATCAACCAAAACTTACTCCGGTGAAGAGACGTCGTGGTGCTGTCCCCAGGAGCTCCCCCCCACACAGCTCCAAGAAGAAGAAGCCCAAGCCAAATGAGAGTGAAGAAGAAGGAGATACAAAAGCAAAGCGAAAGGTATATAAATCCAACGTGTTTTTAAATAAATTTTGTAGGAAAATCCTTAGTAGGGAACCAAATAAAATCCTGCAAATCACAATTTTGTATTGGCTGCCCTTCGCCATTGCTAAAATGATGTGCCTTACTCAGTCACTTATGTCATTGTATGCTTACCAGTTTACTCTAACACTTGCATCAGGTTAATTAACATATCCTTATTAATTGTGTATATTTATGAAGTTATTAACCTATTAATCTTCTGAATTTTGGTTATTAAGGCAACTGAAGTGCTAGAAGAACAAAAGTTGACTCCCCAGAAAAAACATGTCACGCCCCAGACCGCAATCCAAGCGCGTGTACAACCGCCGTATAATCAAGTGACGTCACCCGCGAGTCAGCCTCACTTGATTACACAAGGCGTTCGAGAAAAATAATCCATCCATACTCAGTAGTAAACATACATAACAACATCACATTTAAACCAATGAATAGCGGAAATATTCAACGGTAAGTCATAAGCCACAACCGGCCAATAACATGGGCATGCAAGCCCCAAACGAATAGCTTATAACAAACAAAAATATCCATGAGCAATGTTTGGTAATTTGAAATAAAATGAGGAAGCACGAACCACGTCTTCCTTGATTTGATGTCACCCGTAGAAAGGTGCAGGTAGCAAGCCCTGGCTTCAACCTGAAAATGGTGGGGCCCCCCGAAGGGGTCAGTACAAGTACCGAGCGAGTAGCAGGCTAAATATAGAATAACTAGCGTTTCAAGTATAAGACCCAAACATAGGATGATACATATACGTATAGTCCTTCCCCCAAGTTTGAAATACATATTAGTATACATACACTTGGAAATACCCGACCCGTAGGTCATTGTTTATTTGGGAAAATAATAGTAGCCAATATCCTTGACTTAAATCCCAACCCACCCATATACCTATGAGTGTATAGAACTCCTCCTTGTTCAAATAAATTATCATAAGGACACCGCCCGGTCCTAGATCATTAAATGTAATCTATGAGTTTTGAGGATACACGCCCGATCCTTGGGTACTCCACCCTATAATTGAGTTTTGAGGATAACCGCCCGATCCTTGGGTACTCCACCCTATATAACCGAGTTTTGAGGATAACCGCCCGATCCTTGGGTACTCCACCCTATATAACCGAGTTTTAAGGATAACCGCCCGATCCTTGGGTACTCCACCCTATATAACCGAGTTTTGAGGATAACCGCCCGATCCTTGGGTACTCCACCCGACCTATGACTTACCACATATCACGCTAGATAGGGTCTATATCATATTTAGTCATTCATAACTAATTCACTACATAAAGCTTATGTATCACAATCCATGCAAATCCATGCAACCATATAAATGTATGATCAACTAATATCAACCGATATTAATTAATCCATTAACCATCGGTCAACGTTGTTGTTGACCGCCATCTCAAGTCTTACACTTATTAACTAATTCATCATATAATTAAGTTAATAATATCCATTTGTGCTTCTTTTACTCTTAGAGCAAATATGCATTATGTATAATTTCTCATATCATATTTCATGCATAAACAATTATTCTTTTCATACGCACTTAACTATGTTAGCTAATCACATGTTTAAATATCTTTTGAACATCATTATGAGCACATATAACATTTATTTAGGTAATCTCATAATTGACCCAAAAGTTATAAGATATTAAGCCGTCCACTCACCTTGAACTAGCGTTAAGAAGTTCTACCCTTCTTGGTTGAACTCCGGTGAAACTCCGGCGACTTTTGGTCAACTCCGGTGACAATTCCGGCGACTTTTCCAACTTTGTGAAATCACTTGAAATACCCTTTACAAGTGCCTAACAAGGTTTTATAATCATAAAACCCATGTTAATACAAATAACCTCAAAAAGGTTATTTTCCGGTGAACCGGTCGTTTTGACTTCTAAGTCCGTTCTTGGACATAGAACCACCTTCCAACCCATAAATCCATACTTATAACATGTGGAATCATACTAAGGGTCCTTTACATGATATATACCTCATATGATAGAAGGAAAATAAAGGAAAAGTTATAATAAGGTTATTACCTTAATTTTACACACTTTTCCTAGCTTTTTTCCTTCTTTAATCCCACTCCTTGGACCCTTCTTGGTTGAGCTCGAGTTGCAGCAATGGAGGAGGGTTGGAGAGCTTTTTTCTTCCTCTTTCTTGGGGTCTTGGGCGAGCACAATGAGGAGGAAGGAGGGGGGATGGGTTGTTTTTGTCTCATTTGGCTAATAAGTGAGAGAGGGACCCCTTGGGTGTCTCTCAATGTCTCACCCTCCCATCATGTGTACTATTGGCCTTCCTTTGGTCAATTTGAGCACACAAAAACGTGGGGTGGCCCCCACTCATGTGGGAGGTCATCCCTTTGTGTCCCGGTGTGTACAATTGGTCCCGAAAGTTGTATTTTTCGGACTGTTTTAAATATATTTTATTTTATCGGGTCAAATAAAATATATTATGTGCTCTTACTCATTATAACATGTATAATGAATATACATTCCCCAACTTTAATTTATAAGCCCCCGAAATTCAGTTCGGGTTGTTATCAGTTAAATTACCAGCACCGGTAATTTGGGCTTCTTTTGACCAATCGGTCAACTCCGGGCCTTTCCATGGCCCAAATGAAATATCCACAAATATATATTTATTATATAGACCAAGATGAATAAAATATATGGTCTCGGGAATGTCGGGCGACCCCCGCTCCCGATGTGGGTCCCACGTGCAATTTACTATTCACGCGAAAGAATTAATAAAATTTTACAACTTCGTAAATTCATTAATCCTTTGATAAGGTTCAATACATTATTTACATAAAAGTAAATATACTTGGGGACGGTGTTACAAAACATCTCGCAGCAGTTTCAAGAAGGTCCCCGCGATTCATGCATATGAATAATCTTCCCGAGGAGAATGTAGTTAGAGCAGCTAATAACGCACCATTAAGTGAAGCATCACGAGAAGAGGTTGTGAGTGAACTAGGTGGTACTAAAACAAAGGTATTGTTTAATCATATTCTTTTTTATAATATAATAATCTGAATTTATGTTTTTTTTAAATTAAATCTTAATAATATAATTTAATAACTACTGTGAATGATGAATGATTATTTAATCATCTTAAGTTGAAGGTTGAACCTCCTCACCTCAAGGAAGAAGTCATTCCAGAGAAGTTCATTGAAGTTGAAGGTGGAGGTGTTGTAGTTGTTAAAGAACATGCAAGGGCTAAGATGAAGAAGTCAAGGCAACCACCGGCAAGGAAACTAATAATGCAAAGAACTACAAGGTTTGCTGCCGAAAAAAGAAAAGAGCAAAGCAATAGCATGAAGATGTTTTCTATGCTAGTTGACAAATGCCTAGGAGATGGGTACATGGTCGAACATGATGCTGAAATATTCGGGTTTGCAACTAAATCTATTTTCAATAAGGATGTGTGCGGCCTTGTAATCAACTTTGAGCAAGTGAATAATTCTGTTGTAGAAATCTGGTCTAGGTAAGTTTGATTTATAATTTATTTAAGTTATCCATTCTTAAAATTATCATGAGTGGTTAATTTTCTTTTTTCATTTAAGTTAGTTTTGCAGCTCTATATGGATAAAACTCATGTGATTTTTTCATTCAGTGTGTAGGCACTTGCATGAGAAGATGCTTCAAGATGGAGGTAATATGCCAGTCCAATTTGGCACGTCTGCTGCAGTACCAGTACCATTGAAATCCTCAGATGAGTCCATTACAAGGAGGTCTCGATATATAGCAGATCTTTTGGCTGTTGGTTTGCTTGGCCAAATCACGCTAATCCCTTATAATACATGGTAATTAAAATGGTTAGAACTTAGAAGTATTACACTAAATCCTTCTCTGCACTGACCAATGATTTGACTTGGAGTACTACTAGTGAAAGTAGAGTTAGTAATCCTGCTGGTTTACATAAAAACACTTGCTGCAAGTGGATGGTCTTTTATTTTTAGTGGTCTACCAGTTTAAAAAAAACTGGTAATGCAAAGTGCAAATTGATTGTGCTCAATCTTTTATGATCTTTTACATTTACTTTTCTGGGGTCATGCAAATTAAAGTGCATAAGCTCATCTGTAAGAAATTGGCTGGTTTGTGTGATTGTGCTCAATTGCTATGGTGATGCATATTCAAATATCATAAGCTTTGTTTAACAATCCCGGAATTGATCTTAAAAAAAGTATTACACTAAAACTTTATTTTGCTACTGATTCGTATCCTTTTATTTCAACCTGGATTTTTTTTATAGCAATTGATTAACTTTATAATATAACGTGTAGCAATCATTGGGTGTTAGTAGCTATTGATATCACGGCATGGACAGTGTACTATTTGGACTCAATTGGAGAGAAGCCATCAGAAGATCTGTCACTAATTGTGAACCAGTTAAGTTATTTTTGAGTGTCATAATTGTGGTACTTAATTACATGCATGTATGTAGGCCTTTTGTTGTAATTGTTTCAGTCAGAGCATTGTGTTGAAAAATAAACACTTTTAATTATAAGTCAATGAAAAAAATCATGTACTCATATCTAACTTGTATTTGAATATCAGGGGAGTGAAAATTCATCATGCCTCGGTTTCTAAGAAGAGGTTATCTCTGAATTGGGTAACAGTCATGGTATGTTCTTCATTAAACTAAATTCTATTTGACATGTTTACATTATGTTGTATAATAATATTAATTTGTACTTGACACTTATCTAGTGCCCTAAGCAAACTGGTTCTATGGAATGTGGATACTTCTTGATGAAGTACATGAGTGACATTGTTTGTGATGTTAACGTCCTGAAAAAGAATGTGAGTTAAACGTGGACTGTTTATATTTATTTTTGTGGAATAACATTAATTGAAGTTTGTATATGTTTGTACTCATTGTATTTTTATACTCTAGTTCTCAACAATAAAGAACTACTCTGAACAAGACATCTTGCAAGTGCGTGAGGAGTGGGCAGCATATGCAACAAAATTGGTCCTAAAGTAAGTTTTTTTTTCCATTTTGATTTATTATTGTTGCTGCCTTAGCTGATTATGAACTCGGTAAAGTAAATCATTTTGTCGTAGAAATGTTAAACTAACACGGTTAGACTAACTGTTAAGTAACAAAAAGAACTTCAAAAGTAAATGCATTGAAAAAGAATGTACATATTGTGCAATTAATTTCTTATACTTCTTGATGAAGTACATATTGTGCAATGTTACTTTACTAACTGAAAAGTAAATGCAATGAGAAGTGGGCAGCATATGCAACAAAAAAGAACTTGAAAAGTAAATCATTTTGAATTACACTGTCAGACGAACTTGAAAAGTAAATCAGTTTGTATCATTTTGAATTACACTGTTGAACTAAATGTGTTGAACTAAATGTGATCCTTTAATTAGTGCAGGAGTTTCTAACATGAATTTATTAGCAAACTTCAATTAGTAGTAGAATACGAGTTTCAATTCTAAGCATTGTAATATTCTATAAAATTGTCATGCATATGTACATATTGTGCAATTAATTTCTTATACTTGTACATACTTTTTGTTTACAGATGCGGTTGATTTTGAATGGTGGTCTGGTGAAGATCAATTCTTGTACTTTTGGTGTGAAGGAATATGTGCAACTGTTTTGCCTGTTACATTGAAAACTTCATGTTGAATTGTAGGTTCATGTTTTGTGGAATGTAAAACTATTATGCAATGCCCCGGTTAATTGTGGCGTCATTTTTGCTTGAAACTGAAAAACATGCACCCATTTTGTTGTGGAAGTTGTAACCTAACATGAAGAATTAACAATGATGACTTAACACTATTATTAGATGATATGTATTTAAAGTTGGTTGTGTTTGTTGCATTACATCTTTTAGTGTATTGCTTGAAATATGAATAATTAATTTGTTGTCAAAATAAACATAGAAAGTAACGAAACTAATGTATCATGAATGCAAGATATAGTGCAGTGTCAAAAATGATATGACACCAAACCATCACAAAATATGAATGTGTATGTATGACACTATATTTGCTGATGTTGGTATATCACTAAAAAATATGATACCATGGTATCACAAAAATTCTTGATATGTATATATCACTAAAAAACATGATGCATTGGTATCACAAAAATCCGTGTTACGTATATATCACAGTTCTCAATGATGTTTATATGTCATAATTTTGTGACACAAAAGTGATTTGTTAACGGTGACACAAAATTTTGTGTCACTTGCCCCGCTTTTCTGTGACACTTTCAGTGTGTCACTAAATCGTTTAGTGACACTAATTTACTGTCACCATAAGCCATTTTTTTACTAGTGGTTCTACCAGGAAGAACCATTCAGAGTTACTCAGTCTTGTACACTCTGATGTATGCGGACCCATTGAAGAGGAGTCACTTGAAGGAAGCAGGTATTTCGTGACATTCATTGATGATGCATCACGAAAGGTATGGGCTTACTGTTTAAAGAGTAAGGATCAAGTGTTTGATCGCTTCAGATTATTTCATGCCATGGTAGAAAGAGAAACAGGGAAGAAGCTGAAGTGCCTGCGTTCAGACAATGGAGGAGAGTACACTTCCTGAGAGTTCTCAGCATATTGCGCCGCATATGGAATCAGACATGAGAAGACGGTTCCACGAACTCCGCAACACAATGGTGTAGCCGAAAGAATGAATCGGACCATTATGGAGAAAGTTCGTTGCATGCTGAGTATGTCTAAACTACCTAAGCCATTCTGGGGTGAAGCTGTGCTGACAGCTTGTTATCTTATAAACAGGTCACCTTCTGTTCCTTTAAACTTTGAAGTGCCAGAGAAGAAATGGTCAGGAAGAGATGTTTCTTACTCTCACTTGAAAGTGTTCGGGTGCAAGGCATTTGCACATGTGTCCAAGGAGTTGAGACAGAAGCTTGATCTCAAGTCAAACCCATGCATCTTCATCGGGTATGGTGATGAAGAATTGGGATACCGGTTGTGGGATCCCGAAGTGAAGAAAGTTGTACGAAGCAAAGATGTTGTATTTCATGAAAACGAGTTTCATGGGTGTGTTCCAATAATCCGCCAACAACATACTCCAGAAGACGAAGTGCCTATATCATCAAACATTCCTCTCAGCGACGAGGAGATGCATGATACCACTGAACAAGAGAGTGATGGTTCAGTAGGTGATGATGATACTCACAGCGATGATATTCCTCAGCAGGGGGAGCCTTCATCTGAAGATGAAGCTGAAGGTACTCATGTTCGACGTTCTACGCGAGGCATAGTTCCACTGAGAAAGTATTCCACATCCGAATGGATACTTGTTAGTGAGGGGGAGCCTGCGAGCATTGCAGGAATGAGAGAAATAAAGAAAAAGGTGGAGGGGGAGATTTGTAGGTATCTTCCACCTTCTTTCTTGGAAGTTGCCAAGAGGCATCTCACACCTTCTTGGAAGGAGGTCTCCAACATATGAACATGGTGAAGATATGGAGATAACTATGGAAGCTTGGATGCAACTTCCTCTTGTCTTCAAACCAGCCTATAAATAGAGTGTTCTATTGTTGTTCATATCATCAGTTTAGAAAGTGAGAAAAGTGTGTGAAGAGTGAAATACACTTAGAGTAGAAGTGTATTGGTGAAGATTGGTTTTTTGTAATAGTTGAGTGTGAGAGTTTGCTCCTCCTATTGTAATTCTGTTTTTGATATTGAATAGAAGAATTTTCCAATCCCAACATTACATTATTTTGTACTTTCTATTAATTATTCATTTGGTATATCATCCTGATTGAGTCGTTCTAGTTGTATGAAATGATAATTCAAGTTGGAATTTTTTTACCTTCTTTTAATTCATTTGTACTTTCTATTTTCCTTATTTGCATACTTAATAAGATTTAATTTGTGTTCCAGTTTTATTAATTCAGAAAGTTAATTCCAAGCTCAGGTTTTAGATTTTTGAAACGGAATAGCTATACATAGTAAGGAAACTAAACTCATTTTATATGCTTCCCAAAACTGCTTACCCTCAACTTTTGAATACCCTCTCTTCTGAAGACTGTCAGACATAGAAGTTTATTAATCATGGGCTAAGCCAGGGGTGGGCCAACCTAGGCCATAGCCCACCCCAAATTTTAAAAAATGGGTTAATTTTTAAGGTAAAAAATTTTGTGTCAGTCCGGTCTAGTGCTGTAACACCCCGGCCCCGCAGGACCCGAGGTAGTTACTCCACACACCCTCCGGACCTCTAGTACTGTCCTCACAAACCGCCACTAGCCTTTTCCGCGCACTTTGTCCTCACTCGTGCGCGCCCTGTGAAACTTCCCAAGGGGTCACCCATCCCAAGACTACTCCCGTGCAAGCACGCTTAACTTTGGAGTTCTTGGTGATGAGCTCCCTTAAAAGGAGATGCATCTTGTTGGTATGAGTAGTACTATTAATCCGTTTATATTAAATCTCAAGTATTACAATCACCCCCACTTAGGATCACAACGTCCTCGTTGCGCCCTTAAACCAATCTCAATCACACCACAGAATCTTTTCCCCTGCTAAGTGCCCGCCTGATATCCAACGGATCAACACACTGTCGCAGGGTTGCTCTGATACCAACTTGTAACACCCCCAAATTTCCCTCCCCAAAACACCTTTAAATAATGATTTTTTTAAAGGAATTTAAACTTTATTTGAAAACATCAGAATTGTGCAGCGGAAATTTAAATGGAAATAAGAGGCGTTACCGCCACACTCGGTTCTCACATAACCGAGTGCACAGGCTGTCCACCACCAACAATTAAAATTTTCCATAATTAATTGTTCAACTACAATTCTTTAAAATTAAGACTAAATTAAATTACTCAATCAACTTTAGTCTATGTGTTCTAGTGGAAGCTCTCGAAATCAACTTCAATACGATTCCCAATTCCTGCACAAATAAAGTACAGAAAGAAAACACACAAAAAGAAAAATTAGCTTGAAATGCTAAGTAAGGGCCTACTCAACCCCGTAAAATAATCATGTTTGATACATATATAATTCGTCAAAATACATGTCAAAACCTTTTATTTTAAAGGCATGTAAAAACATTCTCGAAATACTTTACAATTCCTCAAATGCAAGTAAAATATTTGATCTCATAAATACACAAATAAATACACACACTAAACTGGGGTTCGTAAAAATTATTCCCTGGGGTTCGTAAAAATTATTCCATCTCACAGCATATCACACATATGCAAGTAAAATAATGTCTTGATATCACATAGTCCTCCAAAATACTTTGTCAAATCTGTATACTTCCCAACATACTAAATACGGAGTAATAATTTTAGAATAGCATTCATAACTCAAAATAATGTTTATAAACTTTGAATAGTAAGATTTCTTTAACAACCCTTATAAGGAATAATTCTCCACGATAGTCTCAATGGTAATTATAAAAAGATTTAATTCCCAAAAATATTTAATCCTCCCATATGTATATCCAAAATTATTTAAGGTCTCAAAATAATTCCACCAATCGATATTTCCATTCTCAATTCCAACCAAAGTAATACTTTATGTTTCTTTTAAGAGTGGGCGAAACTCAAGATTCCTCGAGCCCAATGAGTCTTTGTTGTCTACGACTCATCCCGGAATTCTGGCTCCCACCGACCACCAATTGGAAGCTGAATTTCTACCTTAAGTGTGCACACCCTCTAAAAGAGATTCCAAGCTCTCCGAGTAGTAAGAAATCCAAGTAGGCAGGATGTTTTCTACCACCTACTCACAAGGGACATTGTCCAAGGGTAAATTAGGTAACTACTACTACGACCACCAAAGGATCTTTGATCCTCAAATAAAAGCCCGGGATGTCTACCGGAGCGTGTCATTGCCGGACTGGTTACCGACCCAAATAAATTTCACCAAAAGTAGTAGTAGCCCTAACCACCCACGTCTCATGTTTCTCTCGAGACGTAAAATATATTATGAAAACTTTAAGTTTTCCCCAAAATCATTCTTGTCACACTTCCAAAGATATTCTTTGTAATAAATATCAATCCACCAATATTCTTTAAAAAGAATATACATTTAATCATCCATAGAAAATAATCCACCAATACTAGCTCGTATGTTCAAAATATTCCATCCATATCAATCATAAATTTCCAAAGTCATAAATAATTCCCATAGTTCAAATATTGCATACATATAAGTATGCGGTAAAACATTTTTTTATTGTCATTGAAATTAAACTTACATTACTATAAAAATAAGTACTAGTTATACTCATATAGAAAGATGTTTATTTTCTATATTGTATCAAAATCTCTTAAAATCATTTGTAGCTCGATAATAATCTTGATAGTCAAATGCTCGTAATATTATTATAGTATGGATTCTATAAATAAATATTTTTATTAAAACACCTCAAAAATACATTCGTACCCTACTCATGTGTTTAAAATAATAATTTCAAAAACATTGTAATCTCATATACATGTATACTTTTATTGAAATTCCTTCAATTATCGAAGAGGCAAAACAACTATACATTTTAGAAAACCTAGGTACTTGTCATCACCATATCTGTAATATCAAAAGGATATAATATCCGTACTAAAACCTCTCAAAATCATCTAATTTTTTTATAGATTCAAATACTAGTTTAAAATATAAAGTTATTGTAATTTCTCAAAAAACTTCTATGAGATGGAAATATAAATCTTTGAAAGTATAAACTCTTTTACTAGTTTAAATATATATATATATATATGTATATATATATATATATATA